AAGAATGGTAGACTTTCCAAAGATCACGTTATTTTATTTTTTTTAAATCTCTGGTGTTATGCATGCACAGCCAAATGTTTTCTTTAGACTCCATCGGGGGAAAGAGTTGGGGGGGGGGAGGGGGTCAGCATTGTTATAATACGCAATTAGACTCCGCTCACCTGCCACTCATAGTTGTCGGCGTGTGTCAGTAGGTGTGCCTCCTTGCCGTAAAAGGTGTACTCTCGGATGTTGTCTAGCCCTCTCACGGTGCACGCGCTCGCCGCGCTGCGACCCACGCGCATGCCGTCCGCCTCTGACCACTCATCCTTGTCACTCTCGTAGAACTCCACGTGACCCGTCGTACCGGAGCCTGACCCAGTATGCAGAATAAAGCATTTGTGAGCGAAGTCGCATTGGACTGAATAGTGGTGGATGGAACCGGAAAGTGTTGAATAGAACTGGACAAAGTTGAAAATAGCTGGATAGAGTTGGACAGAGTTGGATGGAACCGGACAGTGTTGAGTAGAATTAGAGAGTTGAACAGAATTGAATAGAGTTGAACGGAACCGGGCAGCGTTGAATAGAGAGACAGAATGGAAATGAGTTGGATAGAACCGGACAGTGTTGAATAGAATTGGACTGAGTTGAAAAGAGTTGGGTCGAGTTGGATGGTGTTGGGTGGAGCCGGGCAGTGTTGAATAGCCTAGAATAAAATAATTGGACCTAGTTGAACAGATTTAGATACAATTGAATAGAATTGGATGTGGTTTTGTTGCTAGTCGATCTGCGTGGCACTGGGTTATCTTAACATTCGATTCCTGGTTCCCGAGACAAGAGGACCCCTCATCAGTCAGCTGCTGACAGAAGACTTCTGCTTTTTTTTACCCCTTCATAGGAACGCTTTTTATTGGTTCAGTCAACACCCAGTTGGTATCGCGCTGGTATCGTATTGCAGATATCCTTGGTTCGAATCCCTAACAAGGCGTTTTAATATTTAGGTTGTCTGGAGAATTTTCATAGCTCTCCACACGCTTGGCAGGGTCTTATCGGAGATGGGCGTTTACATTCGGATGTCCTCCCCCCCTTAATAAATTGTGTTCCTTCTTACATAATGGTTAATTGGATGATTGTATGGTAGTAAATCTTTTACACTCCCACATTCCCATCAACACAGTGTAGATCATTGGAAGGAGGCGGGCTGCTTCCACCTTGCTAGGCCAACACGAGCTAAGTGGGATACAGCATCCCAGCAGGAAGACATAATGTAATAATATACTTTCAGAATCGAACTCTTGTCTTTTGCGTGCTGTAACTAAGAGAATAATTCTAACACCACAGGTGCCGGTCAAAAATTAGAGGCGTAACTAATTGTCAAATATCTTCTTAACATAGATCTAGATTCCCCAACTTTTTCAAAATGACTAATATCAATTTTGTCTTAAAAGATGACTATTTTTTAAAAACACCTGAACACTGTATTTTAGAAATTTTCTTCATAAATACTAATTAAAAAAACCACAAACCCAGTCGATGGTTTCCACAGACTTTAAAAAGTTCTCAGCTGTGGTTATATCGCTTTAAACTGCAAGTTCGTCATTATTTCGCGTGACGGAGGTTTGTAGTATTTTATATAAATTTATGAAGAAAGTTTATTAATCTAGCCTCAATAATTGTTGGGGAATAATAAGATCAAATTAAGACATTTAATTGATACAAACTGCTGTGCAAAGTATGGGTAGTAGTGATTCAATCGTTTAAGAGATATTTGAGGTTACAGTGCGCAACGAATTTTTAACCGCACTTTATAGCATGTACTCTACATTACCGTTAACTATACACACGTTTTAACTATAACCTATATAAGTGTTGACTAAACCAATTATAGAGAGGCACACAGACGCTAAAGATGGGCCATGTCGGGCTGAAAAACGAAGCAAGACCATTTTATTTTAACAAAAAATGTAACTGCAAGTGTTAAGGGTTCCATAGTTTGCCTATACGTGCGTGTTTATTAGGCCTATACATAAGCGTTAACTATACTTAGTACTAACTATACATAAGCCTAAGCTATACGTACAAATTTACTACACTTGAAGCAAAAAAAAAAGAGGATAATTATACCATCGTATCCACCAACGACATAGATCCGGTTTTCTATGACGGCAGCGGCGAAGTTGCTCCGCCCTTTTAGCATTTCTTTGACAGGAAACCAAGCCCCTCTGTCAGGGTAGTACTTCTCAACTGGAACCATACAAAATGATAATATACATGTATTATACTATGCTTTCACATAAGTGAGACATAGCAAATTCTTCTTAGTTTCGAGAAATGAGATGTTTCACATTTTAGATTTTTCACTAAAATTTACGCACAAAATGTAATTTGTGCTTTGAAAGTAGGCTTTAATTAAGATTTATTGCATTTCAACATTGGATAATTTTACATATAGACCAATTAGATCAAGCTACAAGGCAAGAAAAGGAATGTAAAGAAGTGACGAGGGAAGCCCGAGAGCCGAGGAGCATCCATCCGTCATCATGACGTACGAAAGTACAAGGATACAGACTTCTTCTTCTTCAAATAACACTCAGGTCGAAAACCAACATCGGTGGTCATTGTCTGCCGGTCTTCGTCGGAGACTCTAAAAAATCCCAACAAAACAACAAAAAACAAAACAAAACAAAAACAAGCCCCCCCTCAAAAAAGAAAAAAAAAAAAAAGAAAAAGAAAAAATGTGGTATCACCCTGGTATTTTCCCCTCACCAATACGCTTAAGTCTTCAAAGTATGAGGGTCGTTCAAAAAGTTTTGCCTCCTCTTCAATAACTTCTAAACTATTCAAGATATCTTCATGAAATTTGTACACAATTGACTTTCAATATGTATACTCTCAAATTAAAAAAAACAGAATTATACTATGATGTCACACCTTTATGCTATTGCTGTTTACATCAATGAAGCTAGGGTACATTGTCGCCGAGAAAATGGCGTCCAGCAAATCTATGAATGTGTGCTTAAAGCAAAGAGCTGTTATTGGGTTCCTTACTGCAGAGAGAGAGCTGCACCCATCGATATTCATAGAGGCAAATAGAGCATGTCTATGGGGAAGCATGTGTAGATGTAAGTACTGTTCGAAGATGGGCAAATGAGTTCGCTGAAACCAGTCCAGCAGAGACAGATTTGCATGACCAAGCTTGATGTGGTCGTCCCAATTCTGCCAGTGATGTTCAACACCAGGAGAGAGTGGGTGAGATCATCCAGGCAAACCGGCGGATCAAAGTAAGATATGTCAGTGAAATGCTAGGGATTTCTGTAGGGAGTGCTCAGTATGTCATCCATGACGTGTTGGGTTACAGGAAAGGGTGTGCTCGGTGGGTTTCCAACATGTTGTCACCCAAGCTGAAATTGAACCGAAGTCAAGTTAGTGATGAACTCCTGGCTCGTTAAGCCGATGAAGATGAAGCTTTCTTACGCCGTATAGTTACAGGAGACGAGAATTGGGTACACCATTATGACCCAGAGAACAAAAGACAATCGAAAGAATACAGGCACACTGGCTCACCTAGCCCCAAGAAGTTCAAAATTGTTTCATCTGCAAAGAAAGTGCTTATGAAAGTGTTTTGGGACTGCGATGTTCTGATTCTTATGGGATTTTTGGAGCAGGGCTCCACTATCAACTCTGAACGATATATTGAGACCCTGAAAAAACTTAGAGCACGGCTGTCACGAGT